GCTGTTGTGCAAAAGCAGCTATAGAAAATATGTACAAAGGCCAGCATGGTGGTTAAGGGCACTGGATTCCCACATGGCCAACCGTGGTTTGAGTCCTGGACCAGGAGGCTTGCTTTCTCTCTCTCTGTCTCTAGAAATATTTTTAAAAAAATTAAAAAGTTAAATAATTTCTTTAAAAAAGAAAATATGTAGAGAAGTGAACGTGGCTGTGTTCCAGAGAAATTTGACAGAAGCAGGTGGCCCGCCCACGGAGGGGCCGTGCTGACCCCAGTCTAGATACGCAGCGTTGTGCTGTGTGTGGACACAGATTGCGGATGAAGGAGATGAAGGAGAGAAACATCAAACAGCCTTCTGGCTTTTATTTTGGTCTTTTTCTAACTTTGTCCACGGCTTCAAGATCTTTCGACTTCATATTATTATGCAGAGAGCATGTTACCCAAACCCCTTTCACTTTTGTTGGGGGAAGCCTGGAAGGGTCGAGGTAGCCTGCTTCTGTCTACGCTGTGTTCTTTGGAGCGTAGCATACCACCTAGGATTAATAAATGCTAAATAATCATCATTTTTCACCTCGCCGCCGTCCCCTTTATGGCGTCTCCTTTGGTGCCCTCGGAGGTATTAACCTGTAGCTTTTACAATGTCCTATTACACACTGTCAGCAGCACCTTGCTGATTAAATCACACTCAGGAGGGCGTTAACTGCAAGGCCGTAAGTATTCCTGACAGGTTGTCTTGCATGAGCTTCGTTTCTCTTGTATAAAGATTAAAAATCTTGTCATCGCTGGTAAGAAATGAAGTAGACGTAAAACCACCGAGCAACCATAACTCACACAAGGTACTTCTCTAAAAGTCAAAATTCCGATGAGGCAGGCAGCTTATCTAAAGTAAAATAGGCCCGTCTAGTGATGATCGGGTATTTCGTGGTGCTGGGTAGTGGGATCTTGGAGGCTTTTGTGGGTGGCTTTTGGGGTGAAGTGTTTTCTAATACGCATGAAGCGTTCCTGATGAATCCAAGAATTCCATGTTTATAACTAGTGAGACAGCTCCAAGCTAGTAGTCTTATTTTTTGTGACTCACCCTGAAGACAAGCTTTTTTTCACCACGGACCTAAGTTTTCTTTCCCACCATCCTCAGTGTCACGGTTATAAAACTGTCTTTTTGCTGTCCTTCCAGATTCTTTGCTTAAACTGGACTTTTGCCCACAGCAGTGGGAGATGCTGTCCCATAAAGCCGGAACATTTTACAAGTCCTGGCACCAAAGGCTTATTACTTCATTTCCAAAACAGCACCGAGAGCTCACTGCAGAGGCCCCGGGGAGGGGGAGCTGCGGCCTTGTGCTGTTCACTGTTGAGCAGAGGACGGTGGGGATGTCGGTGCTGCAAGTTGAGATGAAGACGTGACTATTTAGAAGGCACTCCAACCAGGCCAGACTGGGGCCGACCACGCAGGCTCTATGTTTTGAATGTATGTAGATAATTTTTGACAGTCTTAAATAACAATCCATGAGGGCAGCTGATAAGCTCTTTCAGTTTTGAGATAGTAAAAGAATATATATATATATATATATATATAAGCCAGCCATTGGTGATTATGTGAGCTGGATCCCATGTAGCTGACTGTGCAGTTCGAGTCCCAGGCCCAGCTGTGAAATACATTCTGGGCGTGTTTGTGTATGTGTGTCCACTTTCGAGAGAGGAGGGATGAATGGAGAGAAGGGATTGTGGTGTGACCATCCCCCTGGAGAAGTGCTTTCTCCTCTCTCTGTTTCTGGTTCTGATGAACACACATGCCTGCTGACAAATTAAAAAAAAAAAGAAAAATCAAGTTGCAGTTTTCTGGTCCCCAGCCCTTGTTACTCGTCCTGTTCGCACCTCAAGGTAAACAGTATAATTCATTGAGGGTGTATTAGTCAGGGTCCTGGCAGAAAGCAGATGTCATACTTGATCAAGATGGAAAATTCGCGGGTGTTCGTCAGAGAGACCATTTACACATGTGTGGGCAGGATGTGGGGAAGTCCCAGGAGGTGTCAGACTGTGACAAGCCGGGGTGTAAAAGGAGAGGGGAGGGGACCGTTACTGGGTCCCAGAAGAGATGGGTGTGCAGCAGAGTCTCCACATGGCTGGTGGCCTTGGGTTGAGAGACGCAACCTGCTTTGGGCAGGGAGGGCACTGTCAATAAACACCCACCCTCCTTCTCTCCCCTGCCTGGGTCTCCTGGCGGGGCCCCTCCCAGCCACACTCACGCAGGAGCCAGCAGACACCACTGTGGCCCATGTGGGCCGTTCTCAGTGTCAGGAAGGAGCCGGGTAATGGACCAGGAGGGCCGAAGACATCCAGCGCTGTGTGTCCTGAAACTCCGTCACCGGGACAGTCACTAGTATAGAGCAACAGCCAAGAAAATGGTTCACAAAAGTCCCAGACAGTAAATATTTTGGGTTTCGTGAACCCATACAGTCTCTGTCATGTTTTTTTTTTTTTTTTTTAATTTTTAAAAACTTTTAGAAGTGTAAAAACCATTCTTAGCATGCAGGCTGTAGAAAACAAAAGTAAAGCCTGGGCTGGATGAGCCTGGTGGGCTGTAGCTCGCCAGCCTCTAGCTTATGTTACTGGTTTGTGCCTTCCCTCCCTCCCTCCCTCCCTCCCTCCTTCTTTGTTTGTTTGTTTGTTTGTTTCTTTCTTTTATTAAAGAGGTTTTTACTGTAGGACATGTGCACTCACTGGAGAGACAGAAAGAGAGAAAGCAAGAAATCCCCCACCCTCCCAGAGGGATGGCCATGCCACGATTCCTTCTCCTCCATCCTCCTTTTGGGATTTTGGGCACACAAACCCATGCTCAGCATGAGTTTTAAGCCTCCGGGTCTGGGATTCCAACTGTGGTCAGCTATGTGGGAGTCAAGCGACATTATACCATCTGCTGGTCCCAGCTTGCTTTTCTATTGTCGTGTGACAGACTACCAAGAACTTAGTGGCTTGTAAGAACTTATTTATCATCACATGTTTCTCTAAGTCGAAATTCCAGGTGGGGCCTGGCTCCATAGGCTAGTGCTTAAGGCAACCAGATCCCACAAGGCTCATCATGGTTCAAATCCCAAAAAAACGCACTGGGAACTTCTGTGTGGATGCCCCACATCCTGACAGGATGGAGACAGGGAGAAAGGATTGTGGTATGACTAAGCCCCATTGGGTGGGGACTTCCCCCCACCACAAGTGCATGTGCCCTCTAGCAGTTAAAAAGTTCTAGGTGGGCTCGTAAATTCTTTACTCAGGCTGGAGCAACTATGAACAGTTCCTTTTTCCTTTCTTTTTTTTTTAAGAGAGTTTTTTTTGTTGTTGTTGTTACAGAGCGTGTGCACTTGCCACAGACAGAGAGACAGAAAGTGAGAAATCATCCCCCAGAGAGGATGGCCATACTGCATTCCCTTCTCCTCCAGTCTTTTGTTGGGATTTTGGGCATGCACGCACATGCGCCTGGTGTGAGTTTTAAGCTGATAGGTCTGGGACTCGAACTGTGGTCGACTACACGGGAGTCCAGCAATGTAATCCTTATGCCATCTGTTGGTCCCCCATTTTCTTTCTTCCTTCCTTCCTTTCTTCTTTTTTTGTTAGAGGATGTACGTACTTGCCAGAGAGACAGAGAGACAGGAAGGAAGAGGAGAAAACACGTCTCAAGGAGAATGGTCACACCCATCCCTTCTCTTCTGTTTCTCCATCCTATCAGGACACTGGGGAAGCACATGGGCCCAAGCCACTGGGTCCAGGTCTTGAACCAAGAGATCAACCATGTGGGATCCAGCTGTCTTAATCACCAAGCCATGGAGCCGGCCTACGACTGGTTTCTTGGCTAGTGTGTTACACTAATTTGACCTTGATGGAAGAAATCTAGTTGAGATATTTTATCCATAGGACTTCCCAATGGTCCTCAGATTATTTCCACTGGGTCACGACCCACTGGGCCCAGCCACGTGGCCAAAGCTAGCTGTGGTCTTGAATGACTGAAAACTATCTCCCCGTCACATAGGTACTGTGAATAGGGGATAGGATGATCTTTGTCCTGAGTGACTGATAGATAAGATAGGAGAGGTCCTTGTCATCATCTGAGCTGAAGGTGACTGGAAGAGATGACAGAGAAGCAGAAAGTGGATGCCATCTTGATGAAGATGCTAGCAGGGGACCTCTAAAGCTGTGAAGATGCACTGACGAAAAGTGGATTCAGCGCAACAGAAGTTGAGAGGCAGGGTGGGCTTTGGGGTAGGCCGATTCAACAGTTCAGCCGGGTTATTCAGGGCCCTGCTTCTCTCTGTCTCTTCACTCTGCCATCATCCACCATCAGATTTTTTTCCCCTCAGCCTTCAGCATATTTGAAGTAGTTCCAGATCGTGTTCAGCCCCCCCAGAACCTCGAGACGCAAGGCAACGTCTCTCTTTTAGGACAGAAGAAACTGTCTCCAGAACACTCCTCTCTCCAGTAGAATTCTTTTCATATTCTATTGGTTAGAATTGAGTTGAATGCCAATTTCTGAACCAACTACTAGGAAGTGGAGCGAAACCACCATTAGTTTAGGTTTATGTCTAGTACTGGACTTGGGTCATTTGATCCCAAGGTATATGGCTGCTTGGGTGTCTAAACAAAAGCAGAGCTTCGTTAGGAAAAAAACAGGTGGAGAAACATGTGGGGTGGAATGGAAGTGGGGGAGGCAAACAACAGCTCCCACTACATCCTGACCTCCCACTACACCCTTTTGCACATATCAAAAAGTATCCGTAGCCTGCAAGAAACAGAATTTCTACGTACTTATGGAAGAGTTAAGATACGGTCACCTGGGTAATAAAACATAATATAAGGCATTGGAGGTATTAAGCATGTTTTCACTTCATGTTTATAGGTTTTTAATAAATCTTTTGGGGTCAATAATACTTTCATCAGATTGGGACCAGCAGGTGGCATGGTGGTTAAGGCATTGGACACTCACGTGGCTGACCATCTTTCGAGTCCTGGATCTGGTGGGTTACTTTTCCACTTTCCCTCTTTCTCTGTTCCTGTCTGGTTGAATTAAAATAAATGAATGAATAAATACAATTAAAAAAAACTTTCATCAGATCGTAAACATTTTTAAAAATAATAATTTATTTTATTTTATCTATTTTTTTTTAATTTGACCAGAGAGAGAGAGAAAGAGAGAGAGAGAGGTGGAAAGTAAGAAAGCAAGCTGCCAGGTCTGAGACTTGAACTGTGGTTGGCTGTGTAGGAGTTCAGCACCATACCACTTACCATCTCCCAAGATCTTACATATTTAAAAGACCTTGTAGAACTAGTAGACTTTGGATCTCATGCCTGCAAGAGTCTACTACCTAGCCAAAAGGAGGATAATTAAGCCCATAGGTCTCAACCTTTTTAACACACAATTCATGATAAATCTCAAAATACAAAAGTTTCAAGGTAATGCTTTGAGCTTCACTAAAACTACATTGGTGGTTTCCAAAACCAGGAAAATGAAAGTAAGAACAGTAGACATCAAAGAAGTAGGCAGGGCGCCTGGGCACGAAAGCCAAATTCCCTTGGGCTGTTACTCTGTATAAAACGGGGTGGAGAAATATGGTGGGTGGAGTGGAAGCTAGGGGGTCAAACAGGTCTTGCTGTAACCGTACTATATCTCTTGGTTCCATGACTGTATATGCATTTTTAAAATTGCCAGAGGGTGTATGCATCTTCCAGAAAGAGGAGGTGGGGACACCCCAAATGGGGTGTGGCCATGTTAACAAGAACTCCTTTTTCTTCCCTTTGCCCTTCCCGTGCATGCACACATGCCTACAGTGGTTTTTCAAGCCTCTAACTGAGACTCAAGTCAGCTGTGTGGGATCTAGCGCTTCCAGCCCCACTCCCAATATTCCTGGGCATTGCTTTGTAGCAAAACAACACAACCGAAGGATTTGATGGATTTAAGAAACTTATCATGGAAGATTCTGTCGTCTAAGGAGGCTGCTATTGTGGAAGATGAATATGGAAGTGTGTGGGGTGTGCATACACATTTATAGTCATGGATTTAAAACATCAGGGGTGCTATTGGATGTCCAGGGTACATTCAATTCCAGCTTTATGAGGTGGGTCTCTATTCAGCAAGTAGTTCTTGCTTTCAGCCCTTACTACGTTCTAGTTGTACAGTAGTTACTTCCAGGCCTACCTGTGTCTCCCACGTGTGAACCCTTGGCAGACAGGACTATGCCCTTCACGTCGTTTATCTCCACGGTCCCTAGAATAGCCCTTTGCAACAGCTGTCATTAAGGCTGCGATAAGAGCATATAAATGAATATGAGAGCTTGCCCTGAAAGCCAACAACACCCAACGTACCACCCGAAAAGAAAGCTAACACTTTTTATTGCTTCCTTTGTACAAATTTTTAAAACAGAATGATTTTATTTATTTATTTACTTATTTATTTTTAATTTGACCAGGGAGGGACAGAGAGAGAGAGCAAGAGAGGGAAAGTGAGAAAGCAAGCCACCCAGTCTGGGACTTGAACCACGGTCAGCCATGTGGGAGTCCAGAGCCCTTAACCACCATGCCACCTGCTGGTCCCCATAGGAAGCCACCTACATTAAAGATGGCTTGGCTTCCTTTTCCTCTCTGTCGCCATTGCAGTTGGAACATGGTGGTTTTCCTCTCCCGGAGTAGAGCTTTGCTATCCACGTTGTTGAGTTTAAAGGACCACGCGTCAGGGAATGGGACGTTTGAGTGGAAGAACGTCTTCATCCCATGCTGTGTAGATGCCAGGGTGGTTCTTCCTTCTTCATTTCTCTAGGCTCTGTATGAAAAAAAAACAAAACAACAACAACAAAACAAAAACGTTACAGCAGTTTGCTCCATGGCGAGCTAAAATCAGTTTAAAGCAGACTTTACATATTTATTTAAAAATGGCCTGCAATGTATTTTAGAGTCAGTATTGATTCCCCTTGTCTTTGAGATTGCCTCTCTGACTGGTGCTTTTGTTCGGATGCAATTGCCTGGTAAAGTAATAGGCTTTGAGGTTCCATCAGTGCCTGCTCTTTTCTATGTTGCAATTGCCTGATAATAATCCGATTGTATCTCTGCCTGATGTTTTAATACTCCTCTCTTCCAGATTGCTGCTGAGGAAGTATTTGCCCCAATAGGTTGTTACACCGTAATAAAAACAAACAGAGCAGGAGAACGAGGGGTTTGTACACCCTGCTGTGTGTCCCTCTAGGCTGACCTCTGTGCATACCACACGTCCCGGTTAGCTACTGCTGCCCAACTACCTCATAATTTAGTGACATAAGCCACAGTCATTTCGTTATGCCCATAGACATTCTGGGTCAGGTCAAGAAGCCTCTCGGGGTAGAAAAGGATTGCTGGTCTCATCTCTCTTCTGGGAGATCTGGGACTTCTGCTAGGAGGACTCAAGTAACCGGGGTGCTGATAAAGCCCGAGTGCTAGAATGGTCTCGAGACCTCTTCAGTCATGGTCCAGGATGACCTGGAAACCAGGCTTTGCTGGGACTGTCTATGGAAGTGCCTGCCTTATGGGCTTGGGTTTTCTCACAGCATGGGGGGGCTTGCAGTAGTTAAGCTTGCTCCACTTGGGGCTCTAAGAGTGTTTTCTGGGGAGCAAGTTGGAGGCTGAGGGGCTTTGTCTGATCTGGCCTCAGAGACCATGGAGCATCACTCCTACATTCTCTGCTTGTAGGTAAACCACTAAGGCTGACCCGGATTCAGTGGGAGGAGGATTTGATTCCACCTTCCAAAAGGAGGGATGTTAAAGAAAAAAATGTTGCCATCTTTATTTTGTTTAAGATTTTTGCCATTGGGTGCATGTGCTCACTGTAAACAGAGAGAGAGAGAGTGAGAGGGAAAGTGAGAAATCACCCCCGAGGGGGATGGCCACACAGCAGTCTCTTCTCCTCCTGGGGATTTGGGTACACATGCGCACATGGCTGGTATGATTCTCAAGTCAAGAATAACTCCTCTTCATCCACAAGCAGTTCAATGCAAATCATGGAAACGTCTGATAAAGAATTTAGAGTATTCATAATGGCAAAGCTAACTGAGATGGAAGAGAAGAGAGACAACGGACTCCTAAAGAGAAAGGAGAAAGAAGTTGATGAGTTCCAGGAGGTGAGGAAATTCTTGCGAGATCTAAAAGAGGAATTACATGCTTTACAAAAGAGTCAAACGGAACTGTTGGAAATGAAGTCTATAATACAGGAAGTCAAAATCTCCCTTGAAAGTATTAAAAGCAGACTAGATCATACAGAAAATAGAATCTCAGACGTAGAAGAGAAAA